CATCTCTGGCCTCTACCCCAGTTTTGTACGAATAAATAAATAAATCTTTAAAAAAAAAATTCTTAGAAGGAAGCATAAGGCTAAAACGCCATCACCTTTGCTACACACTGGTTTCCTCGATAGAACCTCGGAAACAGAAGCAACAGGAAAATGAATGAATTGAAGTTCAGCAAAATTGATGGCTTTTGTGTTTCAGAGGACACTACTGATTGAAGAGTAAGCTAGAAAACAGGGGAAAACTTTGACGCTCATCTCTGCGATGAGGAATTTCTATCTAGAGCATAGTACATTAAGAACTCTCACAACTCAGTCACGGAAAGAGCCCAATTGAGAGGGACCAGGGTCTGAATACGCATTTTGTCACAAAAGCGCGGACAGGGAAGGGGCAGAGGCGGGCCAGAGCCACCTCACCAGGCCAGGGAAGGAGTGTCGCCCTCCCCAGCGCTGCCCGCCCAGACTCTGCCGCCGCGGCCAGCTGGCGAGCGGGGAGAAACATCAGTCAGCGTCTGACTAGTTTCCCTCCTCGGGATCAGTGCGACAAGCGCTTCACGGGAAACGCAGCCACGGTGTTACTCACACAGGCTGGACGTGGCCACCACCGAAACGTCCACTGGCTACCGAATGGGAAGCAGAAGGAAATAGCACGCAGCCACGACAAAGGGCGAGGGCGGCCGCGGGCAAGGTGGGTGGGCGCCGAGAGCAGCCGCCAGCCCCGAGAGTCCCGCCCGCACGTCCCGTTCTGAAACGCCTGGAACCCGCAAGTCGAGGCGAGAGTGTCCACGAGGGGCCCTCGGCCGGGGTGCCGCACAGTGGCCCGGGGGGCAGAGGACGTCCTTCCGGAGCAGTGAAAGCGGTGTGACGTGGCTGTGGGGGGGCCGCGCGGGACCGCTAAGGCCGGTCACAGGCCTTGACCGCGGCCGCGTGGTAGCTCCGTTACCCACGAGGTCGTCAAACACCACAGACGTCAGACGCGGGCAGGAGGTAGTGGCCTGACCTCTAAGTCCTCGTCACGCACAGGCTGGCACAGCGGCTTTGAGCTCCCCGAGACGCAAACGGCGGCGTGGGTCGCTCCAGCAGGGACGCCGCGCCTCGGGGAGTGCCCGGCGAGGACGCGAGGGCCGAGCCGGTGCCTGGGAGAGCACTTCCCCGCAGGAGGGATGCTGTGTCGCATGCAAATCCCGCTGGAAGTCAGGGAGGGGCCGGTCAGGCTGCCCAGCGGCCGGACTTGTCCCTCGCTTTTGATCCGATTTCCCGGCCTTTGC